CCTGGCGAGCGAGCGCGAGGCGGCCGCGCGCCTGCAGGAGCGGCCCCCGCTGCGCGCCCGCGACGACTACGACCAGTTCCTGCGCCAGCGCAGCTTCCAGGAGAGCCTGGGCCAGGGCTCGCGGCGGGACCTGTACGGCCAGTGCCCCAGGACTGTGTCGGACCTGGCCCTGCAGAATGCCTTCGGGGAGCGCTGGGGACCCTACCTCGCCGAGTACGACTGGTGCTCCACGTGCTCCTCGTCCTCCGAGTCCGACAACGAGGGCTACTTCCTCGGGGAGCCCATCCCCCAGCCCGCCCGCCTGCGCTACGTCACCAGCGAGGAGCTTCTGCACAAATACAGCTCCTACGGCCTCCCCAAGTCGTCCACGATAGGCGGCCGGGGACAGTTGCACAGCAGGAAAAGACAGAAGAGCAAAAACTGTATCATTTCTTAATCTGACTGGGGCAGGGCGTGGGGGAAGGTGGGAGCTAAGAATGTAAATTCAGAAACTTGCACTGTTTTAAATTTTAAAGCGCTTTTCGGGTTGGTTACCCGGGGGGGAGAAGGGACGTGCTCTGAAGTGGAGGAAGGCAAGGTTGCAGAATGCCTCTCAGTCGGTAGTCACAGTTCTCGGCATGTTGAATATTATTTGCACATTTCACTTTGGAAACGCTATAGACTCTGCGGCAGCCGGGCTTGGTCACCTCCCGAGCCTCGGTGTGTTGAGTTGCCACCAGTAAGATGGCAAATCGCTTCCTTGCTCGCTTGTATCCTCTCTGGTTCTCTTACTTTTAGGACCCTTTTTCCAGTAAGTAATTTGTTTATTAGCCAGGACCCGAGACTAAGTTATTTCCATGTCCATTGTAAATGCAATGTAAATGAGAGTTCTGATAAAATATTTTTGTATTTTGTAATATCAAAGGAATTTCTATATCGTAGGACTCAGTGAGACCCGCATGCACATCCAGAGTTGTCTTTGAGTAGTATCCAGAGGTGGCCAGCACCACCTTTCTTTTCTTTTTTTCTATACAAATTTGTTACATGTCAGTGAGACTTTTTTCAAAGGAGTTTATTCAATTTGGCTTTTTGTGGCTAAATAAACAATTATTATACCCAAAGCATTTTACGCTCTGTTCCATCTTAAGGAGCCATCCTTAAGTCCACTCCCACCCTCAGTAGAATGTATTCTCTACAAAGTGATAGTCATTTTTTTAATAGCAAACATAACTTTTGCCCATTAGAGAAACCAATCAGTGTCAGTCGAGTTCCGTGAGAAACGCCATCCCTGCTGGGAACATTGAAGTTGCTCACTATTGATCTCTTTCTTGGGGAAAATACAGTGACTGTGAGTGGTGCTGTTGTGTGATGTCAGCATGATGTTATTTTGAATGTGGCATTATTTTCTGGTGCTCATGTTTCCTGGATTGTATTATCTGCTTTTCTTTGCCAAGGCAGACGGAACAGCTGCCTTAGCCCGACAACCGGTTGTCCTCAGCGCAAATGAACTTAAGCATTTGGAACTTAGGGACAGGAAGGTTCTGACGGGGCTCTGGGAGAGACGGTGTGTTCTAGATCGTTCGTTATGCAAGGAGAAGGAATGAGGTGATTTGAAAACAGAAAGCAGGGCAAGGGTAGAACGGAAGGAGAATATGAAGGAAGGTCAGGGTGAAGAAGAATTCCTGCACGTGAAGTAGAGGAGCGGTGACAGCCACCTCGACTAGCCCCCAGTGCTTGTGGAAATAATTCAGTTTAACACACTCCCTAACCAGAGTATCTGGGTCACCCAGAAAGGTTGAGCTGCTCAGGAGACTTCAGTGTAATGGTCTTGAAAAGCAAATGTTGAAAGGAGGGTTTCCATCAGGAACTTTTGGGGACCGTTGGTCAGACGGAAAATGGACTCAAAAGTGAGTTTGCTTAAAGAAGACATTTAACGGTTGTGCTGTTTATAGTAAAATAAAACTTCCTCCCTTGCTTCAGTTAAAAATGAAGCGCGTGCTTTTCCTTCCATTCCCCTCTCCCCTTAATGGACTGTGGCAGCTGAAATAATCCACCGCAGGACCCACCTTTAGTGAGATGTACTGTCCATGTGCTATACACGGTGTATCTCAGTGGCCATCTGCCATGGTGAGGCGAGCGTGGTCTCTTTTCAGTATAGTAGTTAATATTTTCTAGTATTTTTTATGGAGAGAATGTGAAAAGTGGCTTTTCAGACCCCATGCCAAGAGGGTCTGGGGAAAGGAAGGCTGTACAGGATGTGGGAATGGCGCTCCATTCAGGATGTATTAAAATAATTTGCTTTTCAGGTATTAATATGACATTTGTCATTGTCACTGATTTTTTAAAAAAAGCAATGCAAGTGTTGGTTGTGGCTGTTTTCCGCATGCTATCTTCATATCTAAATGCTTCCTTAATTATCCAAGCCTCCGGAGAATTAACTCTATTACGTCTGTATAGTAAGTTTGTAAACTGCTTGGCAAACTGATTTTAAGAAATGTGCAACACCGCCCGACTAAAATGGCAGGTTTCTGGTAGAAATTGGGCAAGTCCAATTTGGATTTTTGAGCTCCTTGATTGATGAGAACAAAAAAGCGTTTTTGGAAAAAGGGAAAACAGTAGATGACTTAACCTAGCAAAAAGCTGGAAACAGTGTCTGTCCTCTGTGGCCTGGAATCCGGTGAAAGAAGTTCTCCTAGTGAACGTTGCTCTCTAACTCGGCCCTTTTCAGAGCACGTCTTGCATTTCTCAGATGAGGCTTTCACCCCATCAGCAGAAGAAAGAAGCTGGCCTAGAAACTGGCATAAAACTAGGGTCCAAAGGAATAGGGGGAATGAGCGATCTGAGATCTAGTTGCCCAGGGAGCACCCAGCAGCCGAAATGGTCAGAGCTTGAGATGTAATGGGTATAAGCCTCGGGGTCAAGCTGTCTGCAGGCAAGAGCACCCCACCTGCTCCAGCACTGCAGAGGTCTTCCCACGCCACATGCAGCCGGGCGCCTCACAGGGAGTGCCGGTGGGGACGGCTAAACCCTCGCAATGATGGAACCTCCAGGCGAGTGGCCAGAGAGAGCAGGTGTCGTTGCACTGGGAGTCCCACTGTTAGTGACACTTACATCCCAGAATCCCATTCCCAAAAGTTGAATGCGTTCTCTTCTGAGGCAAGAACTTAGGGTCCTTAGCTGATCCCTCCATCATAACCACCAGCTCTTCTTGGTCACATTTCGCTGCGAGTGAGGCCTGCGCTCACCACTTCTTAGGTCGTCATTTCATCCCCTCAATAGACTTTTTATTGAGTAATCTTTTCCCAGTTTCCTCTCTGCTCTAACGCCTTCGGGGTTTGTTGTTTGTCTTTCTACCTCTCCTCGTGCTGGTCCTCTGCTTGTCTTGGTGGTGAACACCGCAGCTTTAGAGTACAGCTCGTGTCCTACTTGCTGCTCAGTTCGGCGGCATCAGAACTGGCCCCCTCCCAAGAAGCAGAAGTCAGTGACAGTGTCCTGCCAGTGCACACCACCCTTGATACTGTGAACAGGTTTCGTAGCAGGCTGGTGGCACTGAGCGCGGCACTCAGTACCCTTCCTTCTGTTAAGTAGTTCTGGGATCTCTACCAAGCGTGAAGGTGAACGAGCTGAGGGAAACCAGAACTGTGCTTCTTGGTGTTGCACGCGTTCAGCGGCGGAGGATCCCTAGTGCTGTTTGTGCGACAGCTTTTTCCGTTTTCATCTTGAGCTCTCCCGTCCTTCCTTTCAGCCCAGTGACCACGCAGTTTTGTGTTTTGAATACGGGACGTGGAGGCCGCTCTTTCCCCTTTCTGTAGGATGCGGCTGCACTGCACCGAGATTATGTTTCCTTCAGCAGCAGCCTCCTGCTTCCTGGGTGCCACTAGCATCGGTTAAGTTCAGGTGGGGCCAGTGATGGCATATACGCAGCATATACTCTGCTACCTGGGCACAGATAACCAGTGTGGCACTGTGTACTTTCCAGAGAACATGGATGCAGCCTCAAAACCCTGCGACACTCCGGCCCACCAGAACCGGCTGGTCAGAAGGGCTCTTATTTGTGTGATAACAAGCCTCCTTTGTGAACTGCTTCTTAGCTGTCTTTCTACTCTGGGCTCTCTTACCACTGGGCAAAAACAGCCACTTAGGAAGCATCATTCATAAAATAATTGTGAGACTCCAATTCCTAGCGCCCAGATGTGGGTGCTGACAGGAGCTGACTCTTCAGGCTGAGTGAAGACAGATCTCTTAGGCGTACCTTCCCCTGCTCGTGTCCTTGGCCAGCTTTTACAGGCAGCCTCTCTTCGCCCTCTTGCAGAGGTCAGATAAGAGTCCATCTTAGTCTAATCCCACCTTCTAACAAGAAATAACACATATTTAGATCCCAGGGAGAAGTGCTCTTTGTGTGTTTCCTTCTAACAGAAACGAGATGCTAACACCTAAGAAGGAGAATCTCTGGAAGGGGAAGTGGATGGTGTAACCAGCTACCTGAATATTTCATGCCAGAAGAGCTGTTTTTAGCAACTGTTTAGCACCTTCAGGGCTTTGACATGGGCTCTGGACAGCATTCCAGGCGTGGGACTCAGCCGAGCCGCCTCTGCCGATTTGGGAGGCATCTCATGCCGCCTTTTGAGGCCTAACACTTCCCTAGGCACTAGACAAGGAGAGATGAAGAGGGTTTTGCCTGCCTCCAGTGGTTGGCCCCTCTGGGACCTGGAAGACACCAAAATTTGTTTGTCCAACCACTTGGAAGCAGTGGCCAAGGTTAGGATCGAGAAAGGATTGGATTCTTTTCCCATTTTCTCATAATAGTAGCCCAGGCAACACAAGACTCGTAAAACATGACGCACCGTTGGGAGCTATACTGTTTTATAGGCTGACTTCCTGCTGACAAAACTAGCTTTCCTCAGGGGCAATAAGAAGGAGGGGGGAAAGCTCTCATAGTGTTAGGAAAATATTCCTGTGATTTTTGATATGGAAAATCCATAGGATAGGAAAAAAAATTGTCTTTATCCTGAGAGTTTTCTGAGACATGCCTTCACCCTACTGGACATTTGGCCATTGATGTTCAGTAGGTCTCTGACCAGGCTTTTCTAAATTTTTCGGAGAGAGTTACTCACCAGTAAGGCCTGTTCTCAAGTCTTTCTGGCAATTTCCATATTTTCCCATAAAGCATTTTGGTTCTATTTTTGGACCCTGACTTAATACTCTGTGGCCTACGAGTCCTTCATTTTCCTTAGCAAATTAGGACTTTGGCAGTTTTCCTCTCCTAAACACATTCTTTCCTGTACAGGATTGCTTTGCCCATCTCCTGCTTTAATTCCAAGCGCATAAACAAAACCTCAGCGGGCCTGGGAAGGCGAGGCAGGCCAGAGTCTGTCGTGTGTCGAGTGTCGCGCTGTTTGTTAAGAAGGTCTGCAACGGGCCTTTGGTGTAGGCTCTGCCAGAGACTGTTGTGAACACTTTGCTTGAGATCCGTGCCCTGTAAAATGGATATGATGTTTTACTGATGTCTGTAATACATTTGTAAACTTACAATAAAATTTGAATAAAAGAATTGTTGCCATTCCTCTCTCGCTTTCCAGGTTTTTTTAAATCTTTGCCTTTGAGCATTTCAACAGAAAAGAGAGACTGCACATGTCCAGGATGAGATTTGCTATGAAAGAAGAACCTGACTATTTACATCAGAATTTCTCAGCCTCGGCATTATCGACTTTTGGGCTAGTTCATTCTTTGTGGCAGAGGACTGCCCTGTGCGCTGTAGGATGTTTGAAGACATCTCTGACCTCTACCCACTAAATGTCAGTAGCACCCCTCCCCCTGAGTTGTGACAACCAGAAGTGTCTCCATACATCACATCCATTAGGAGGATTACTATTTTTTAATAAAAACAACTAGAAAATAACAAGCGTGGGCAAGGATGTGAAAAACAGGCTCCCTTGTGCATTTTGGGTGGGAATGTAAAATGGTGCAGCCTCTGTAGAAAACAGTATGGCAGTTCCTCAGGAATTTACAACAGGATTACCATATGATCCAGCAGCTCTGCCTCTGGATATAGACCCAAGTAATTGAAGGCAGAGCCTCTAAAAGATTTGTACCTCGATGTTGACATCGGCATTACTCACAGTAGCTAAAGAGATGGAAGCAGCCTAAATATCCATCATGGATGAATAGATAAACCAAATGTGATGCACACACACAAGGGAAGAGTATTCAGCCTTCAAAAGGAAGGTAATTCTGACACATGCTGTTGTATGGATGAACCTTGAGGACATTAAGATATGTGAATTAAGCCAGTCACAAAAAGATAAATACTGTATAATTCCACTTATATGAGGTTCCTGGAAGAGCCAAAGTCATAGGATAAGTAGAAGAGTGGTTTCCAGGGCTGGGGGAGAGGAGAATGGGAATTGTGTAATGAGTATAAAGTTTTTTTTCAAGATGAAAATTGGTTGCACAACAATGGTAATGCACTTAACACCACTGAACTGTACATTAAAATGATTAAAATGATTTATGTTGTCTTTATTTTACCAGAATTTAATATCTCCACCCATAGCTGAATGTCCCCTGGGGACAAAAGTCACCCCTGGTTGAGAACTGCCAGTTCAAATGCTTTGCCACTTTAGCATCTCTGATCCCTGAGGATTTTTGAAACTGACTCCTACTCAGGCCACACAGACAATTTTCAGTTATTAGCAGGAATTAAAAGCAGCAGGTGACCCTAAAATATTTGTATTTGCTGTTAAGCAAATCCTAAGTGGTTTGTCTAGAGAGCTATATGCACAGCTGTGTTCTGGTTAGAATAGTATTAATATGGTCTGGGAGCCAGGACCAAAGCAGCATGTAAATTAGATTTTTCCATGGCTGATCCACAACATTTAGGAAGCGCTGGATACTGCAATATCACTTGTTCAACAAGTATTTATTCAGAGCCTGCTCTGGGCCAGGCACTGTTCTTGGTGCCTGGAATACAGCAATGCACAAAACGAACTTCCTACGCTCCTTCAAGGAGCTTGCGAACTTGACTTTCCACTAGGCCCGAGTGCGGGACTGCAACAGCAGATGTTCTCATCCACGCCAGCCAGGAGGACTTGGGAGATGGACATGAGTGAATTCACTCCTAAGGCTCCTGAGAGCCTTTGGGTGAAGACTGATGTCATGCCTGTTCTGCTCAGAGACCCCCTCGGGGAGCATGCCCCTCAGGCAGCCACGGTTTTGCCATTTGACCTGCTCTCCCTTCTCCTCAGCTAAAGCGATTGGCATCAAGAATGGCACGTAGCCAGCAATTTACAAGCGACCTGACAACGTGGTAAGCTGGGCCAATCCGATGCCCTTCTCAGGATTACAGACAGGATTCTGAGAGAGAGAGGTAGTTGCCAGTGGAAGCTGAAGCTAAGGGTGTGCAGGGAGGGCAGCCAGGAGTCAGGCTCGAGGCCATCCGGGGAGGGGAGGGGTGAGAGTGCAGAGTGATGGGTGAGCAGCAGCTCAGGTGGGAACAAGCCCAGGAACGAAGACCAGCGTGAGCACAGAAACCTGAGAGGGCCAGAAGAGCTGTCCCCAGGACCTCCTCACCTCCAGACCGCAGTTCCTGCCCCTCTCGGATTACCTACGGTCTTGGTCCTTCACACAACCCTTCCCCATTGTGCTTATGTATTGTTGCATTACACACCTCCATAAACTCGTATTTGCACTCAAGTGATCCTTGCAACCCTGATTAAAACATGAGGGATGAATTCTGAATGCCAGCTACTACACCTTTTATTTAGCCCCATGCCCCTTTAGCAATTTAATCCCATCTCAACCACTTGCTGGTTGTATCATCTTGAGAGGTGTCCAAGTCCTCTCTAGTCCTCAATTTTTATCTATTAAATGGGAGAACAATAGAGTTGTGTGGGTTTAGTGGAATAATGCATGTAAACCTCTTAGCGCTCTGTCTGCCACTGTAAGAGCTCAAAACACATGAAATGTTGCTATTGTATTATTATTATTATTTCTATCCCACTCAAAGATAAAGGGTGGCAGGAACTAGATACCATTGGTATCTGGTCTAAGAGTGTTCACTGTCTTTTAATTTAAGCATTAAATAGGATTTAGAGAAGTCCCTGGAAGGCCTGGATCTTTATGACATATAAGACATGCAGAGCTCATTAAACAAAGCAAATCTCCTGGCCCTGCCCACCGAGGTCCTGGTTCAGGGGAGAATCTGCTTCTTTAACAGGGCCCTCCATTGCATTCTGATCTAGCTGGTGTGAGGGTCACACTTCAAGAAGTTCTGCTTTGTCCGGCCAGTGTTGCTCAGTGGTTGAGCATCAACCCATCCACCAAGAGGTCACCAGTTCAATTCCCGGTCAGGCACATGCCTAGGATGTGGGCTTGATCCCGAGGAGGGACTTGCAGGAGGCAGCCCATCAATGATGTTTCTCTCTCATCGATGTTTCTATGTCTCTGTCCATTTCCCTTCCTCTCTCTCTCTAAATAACAAACCAAAACAAAAAAACAGCCTGGTACTGGCACAAGAACAGGCATACAGATCAATGGAAGAGAACAGAGAGCCCAGAAATCGCCCCACGCCATTACGCTCAATTAATATTTGACAAAGGAGGCAAGAGCGTACAGTGGAGTGAAGACAGTCTCTTCAATAAGTGGTGCTGGGAAAATTGGACAGGTACATGCAAAAAAATGAAACTAGACCAACAACCTACACCATACACAAGAATAAACTAAAAACGGACAAGTCATGAAACCATAAAAACCCTAGAAGAAAAAATAGGCAGCAAAATCTCAGGCGTCTCTCAAGCAATATATTGGATGATACATCTCCAAGGGCAAGAGAAACAAAAAAGAAAATAAACAAATGGGAGGACATCAAAATAAAAAGCTTCTGCACAGGAAAAGAAACCATCAACAAAACGAAAAGGGAGCCCCCTGTATGGGAGAATATATTTGCCAACGACACATTGATAAAGGGTTAATATCCAAATACATAAGGAACACAACTTAACAAAAGGAAGACAAGAAATCAGATTAAAAAGTGGGCAAAGGACCTAAATAGACATTTCTCCAAAGAGGACATACAGATGGCCAAGAGACATATGAAAAAATGCTCAAAGTCACTAATTACCAGAGAGATGCAAATTAAAATGACAATGAGACATCACCTCATACCTGTCTGAATGGCTCCATCAACAAATCAACAAATGAAAAATGCTGGCGAGGGTGTGGGAAAAGGGGAGCCCTAGTGCACTGCTGGTGGGAATGCAGACTGGGGCAGCCACTGTGGAAAACAATTTGGCGGTTCCTCAAAAAATTAAAAATGGAGCTGCCTGTTGAACCAGGGTTCCCACTTCTGAGAGTATATCCTAAGAAGCCTGAAGCACTAATCAGAAAAAATATCTGCACCCCTATGTTCATAGCAGCACAGTTTACAATAGCTAAGATACGGAAACAGCCCAAGTGCCATCAGTAGGTGAGGGGATAAAAAGCTGTGGGACGTTTACATCATGGGATACTACGCAGCTATAAAAAAGAAGGATCTCTTACCTTTTGAGACAACATGGAGGGACCTGGAGAGTATTATGCTAAGCAAAACAAGCCAGTCGGAGAAAGACAAATATCACATGATCTCGCTTACATGTGGAATCTAATGAACAAAATGAACTTATGAGCAAAATCGATCCAGAGACGTGGAAGCATGCAACAGACTGACAATTCTCAGAGGGTAGGGGTGGGGAGGGCAGGGGGGGAAGAGATTAACCGAAGAACTTATATGCATGTATGTATAACCTATAGACACAGACAATAGTGCAGTGAAGGCCAGGGGGTGGGTAGGAGCAGGGTAGAGGGGCTCAGTGGGGGAAGAAGGGGGACATCTGTAATACTTTGAACTATAAAGGTCAATTTTTAAAAAATAAAATAAAGAGTTGTTTACATTCTACTTAGAGCTAGCATCTCAAAGGAAAGTTTCCACTACCCCCCAAAACCTTTGACTCCAATTGGCCCAAACTCAGTCAAGTAGGATATTCAAAGAGTCACCACCATTAGGGAAACGAAAATATTGTCAATTTATATGTACAAAGTACCTCAAATTTATACTGTCTCCAAGGAAATGCCAAAGGAGGAGATGGGTTTTTTGTTTGTTTTAGAGAGAGAGGAAGGGAGAGGTAGAGAGAGAAACACAGATGTGAGAAAGAAACATCGATCGGCTGCCTCTCTGTGAACCCTGCCGGGGCTCGAATAGCAAGCGGGGCACGTGCTCTGACTGGGAATGGAATCCGCTCCTTTTTGTGAATGTGACGATTCTCCAGCCAACTGAGCCACACTGAGCGGGGTGGAGGAGATGAACTCTTAATGCACAGCCATCTTCAAACCCTCTCTCCATCGCCGCCCCGCCGCTGACCGCAGGTGGATGCCAGCTTCCGCGCTAGCGCTCGTCCCACCCTCGCTTCCACCCGCGAGCACACCGCATGCACAGGCCTGGGCCGCCCCACGGTCCCTGCCCCCTCGCCTGCTCTGCGTGAATCGGGTCAGTCAGTCTGTGGGGTGTGCTTTTGCCTCCGCCTCACGCAGC